ACAGGAAAGTCCGAGCCGAAGCTCCTCCTGAGCTGGAGACGAGCTGCGCGGATCCAGTCGATCAACACCTCAGTGACATCACCCTTGCTGCGCAAGGGGAAGACTGTGGTGTAACGCGAGTAGTCGTCAACCACCAGCAGGAAGTAGCGCTCGTGACCCTGCCCACGGACGCGGGCGGGGCCCCACACGTCCATGTGAAGCGTCTGCAGGGGAGCCTCTGTCGGGGGAAACTGAGAGGAGTGAGGGGCAGCCCGGAGCCGCCCCTCGACACAGGGGATACAAGAAGGTCCGGGTCCCGAAGGGAGGGGAGGGAGAGACCGGGGAAGACCAGAGACAAGGACACGGGAAGCGATGCCCCGAAGACGAAGCAAGGAGGGGTGGCCAAGACGGTGGTGCCACAGGAGAGTCTCGTGAGACAGGCGGCGACACGAGCAGGGGGCAGACTCAGGACCAGACCTGGACGCAGCAGCAAACACCTGACCCGACGCAGCTACCTGGCCAGACGCAGGGACAGGAGGAGACGCAGTGGTCAGTGTGTAGAGACTCGACCCTGGCCGACGCGAGAACGTGGCCAGGTGTCGGCCTGTGCGGGCATCCGAGCAGTGGGTCACCCGCTGACTCGCAGGAGTAAACTGGTGAACCCCCGCATCCTGCAAGTCAGCACCACTCACCAAGTTCGTCGAGAACGAGGGGAGGTACAGACCAGACAAGGTGCCCGAGGGGGCAGCCGGACACGGGAGGACAGTGGAGAAGTGAGAGAGGACAGGACCCCCAGAGGGGTCAGCCAGGGAGACTGCAACCGGCCGGCCAAGCGGCGTGAGTGTGGTGCGGTCTCGAAAGAAGGAGCGAGAAGCCCCTGAGTCAAGTGTGAAGGTGAGGGAGGCCGAAGCCGACGCAGTACCTGAGAGCGCAGCCTCACCAGTACCTGAGAGTGCAGACGCACTGGCACCTAGAGCAGCAGCCGCAGAAGTACCTGGCGCAGCAGTACCAATGCCCGGGTCGGGCGGGAAACACTGGTAACAGTCACCCTCCTCACTAATAGTCACAGCATACATGGCAGCAAGGATAGCATCAAAGTCAAGATCAAAGACAGCTACGCCAGCCCTAGACAGCTCTCCCCAACGGGGAATCTCACTGGCCTCGGGGAACTGCTGACGCCAAGCGTCCGTCAGGCGGGCAAAGCAGCGCTGAGTGGGGTGCGCACCCCCACACTGCTCACCCGCTCGGTCACCGGAACGAAGGACGTAGGTGCATGGACCAAAACCCCCACCCCGCTGACGCTGCGTGTACCACTCACGGAGCTGCTGGGGCGGGGGGATGTCCCGCGAACGCTGCTGCTGCTGCTGCTGCTGCTGCTGACGCTGGCCACCACCAGGGCCGCTACGCTGCGGGGCACCACCCCGACCAGCTCCACCCCCTCCGCCACCGCTGCCTCCACCTCCACCACCACCGCTGCCTCCGCTCCCACCGCTGCCGCCACCGACGCCTCCTCCTCCGCTGCTGCCACCTCCACCACCGCCCCCGCCACCACTCCCACCGCCACCCCCACTCCCTCCTCCGCCTCCACCGCCTCCTCCACCGCCCCCGCCAGCTCCACCCGCGCCCTTGCCCCCCTTGCCCCTGCCAGGGCGGCGTCTCCCGCTAGGGGCAGACGCCGCGCAGACCGACTCAAGACCAAGCAGGTCGGCAGCAGCAGCAGAGGCAACAGAGGGCAGCAGGGGGGAAGGAGAACACCCCTCAAAGATGGGGGTGCGAGGGTCACCACGAGAGGCTCCTACAGCGACGATGCTCTTCTCCGCCGCCAGGAGGGACTTCTCGAGGAGGTCGACAGTGAGAGTGGTGGGACAGACCGAGAGGTAGTGGTCCCTGACTACGCGAAGGGAGTCAGGGAGGCGTGTGACGATGTAATAGAGAGTGATGTACATGGGGGGGGGGTTCTTGGCGCAGAACTCAGCAGGAAGGGCGGCGCGGTAGCGAGTGTCACTAGTGCGGAGGTGCGTAATGAGGTCAGCGACAGTGGGAAAGGCAGCAAGGTCAGGAAAGAGGTACGGTAGCATGAGGCGGCTCAGGGCAGCAGTGGCAGGGGAAGAGTAGCGCGCAACTACAGCGTCGTACAAGGTCTGAGCACTCTTGTACTGACTAAAGTGCGCGCGCTCAGTGGTAGGCAGGTGGCGACGCACAGCAAGACGTGCAGCAGCATCGCGGGTGGCCCACTGAGAGCGAACAGTGGGGTCAGCATCAGTAGCAGGGGCAGGAGAGGCGCCAGAGGTGAGGTCAAAGAGGGAAAGACCGTCCGCCCTATCGCACTGTAAGAACAGCTGCAGGTCGTCGACCCAGACCTCAAAGTCAATGGCTCGACCCTCAGCGTCAAAAGCGAGGACGCTAGGGGTAGCCATGACGACGACAGACGAGCAGTGCAAGCAGTAGGGGAAGGGCACGTAGTGACAGTGGGGCTGTGCTCACCGGACAGAGCAGGTCGGGCGGCCCGGCAGTAGGGCGGCTCGGCTGCTCAGCGGCTCGGCGGCAGTGCGGCTCGGCGCCCGGGCGGCTCGGCGGCAGGGCGGCTCGGCTCCTGGGCGGCTCGGCGGCAGGGCGGCTCGGCTCCCGGGCGACTCGGCGGCAGGGCGGCTCGGCTCCCGGGCGGCTCGGCGGCAGGGCGGCTCGGCTCCCGGCGGTTCTGCTGCTAGGCGGCTCCCGCAGGTAGGGCGGCGGTTGGGCCGCAGGTAGGGCGGCGGTCGGGCCGTAGGTAGGGGGGCGGTAGGGCCGCAAGTAGGGCGGCGGGCAGGCCGCAGTTAGGGCGGCGGGCGAGCCGCAGGTAGGGCGGCGAGCGAGCCGCAGGTAGGGCGGCGAGTAGGCCGCAGGTAGGGCGGCGTGGGGCCGGGACGGGCGGCGCGCGGGCGTCGAGGGGCCGGGACGGGCGGCGCGCGGGCGTCGAGGGGCCGGGACGGGCGGCGCGCGGGCGTCTAGGGGTCGGTCCGGGTGGCGCGCGGGCGTCTAGGGGCCGGGACGGGCGGCGCGTGGGCGTCGAGGGGCCGGGACGGGCGGCGCGCGGGCGTCTAGGGGCCGGGACGGGCGGCGCGCGGGCGTCTAGGGGCCGGGACGGGCGGCTCACGGGCGGCGAGGGGCCGGGACGGGCGGCGCGCGGGCGTCGAGGGGCCGGGACGGGCGGCGCGCGGGCGTCGAGGGGCCGGGACTGGCGGCGCGCGGGCGTCTAGGGGCCGGGACGGGCGGCGCGCGGGCGTCTAGGGGCCGGGACGGGCGGCGCGCGGGCGTCTAGGGGCCGGGCCGGGCGGCGCACTGGCGTCTAGGGGCCGGGACGGGCGGCGCGCGGGCGTCTAAGGGGCCGGGACGGGCGGCGCGCGGGCGGCTAAGGGCCGTGACGGGCGGCTAAAGGGGCCACTAGGGGCCAAGAGAGAGGGGAGCGCGACTCGGGTAGGGGCAGAGTGCGCTCCGGGCAGGAAAAAAAAACGGTGGGCCCTAGGAACAGTTCCCACGAGGGAACCTGCTCTGATACCATGAGAAGAGTAGAACGAGAATGAATGAACTATGAATGAAGTGAGTACATATGGGAAACCCTAATTGGGTTGTACCCCCTATGGGATACCCCACTATAGCCTACACAGCAGCATAAGCTATATATATGTTCTGACATTCGGTAGAGTTTTTGTTTGCTTATACTGATTTATAGTATTTGGAATGGAAATATTAATCTCCGATCTCGAATTTCGTAAAAAATGTAATATATGTTAAATGCAGTGGCATACGATTGATAAAATCCATATTATTGCTACAAATCTCATTAGCAATAAAATATATTTTAGTTATTATGCTCAAGCTATTACTAATCACATAATTTATCATTTTTAAACTACTAGTTATTTTTTATATGAAAAATAAAAATTAAGTAATGGTACTACGTGAAATTTAACTGTGCGTTCCCCAACGGCTCCTGGCACAACCGAACGTGTACGTCATTCAACATTGAAGAATAAAAACGCACTGCTTGCATGTCACTTTGGCGCGCGAATTAAATCACCAGTGTTCTGTCCAATCAGTTGTCGCTCGCATGTTCAAATCTTGTATTCGTGACTGTTTGTGATTCTACGAAATTCCAGCGGGTGCCCGAATTTCGGTTGGGAAGGGCGGGAAAATCGCGCTGAAAGGGCGCGCGCAAACGCGGTCCATCTAATTAAAGCTCGCGTCTCATATTTCTGTGTCCCAACCAAGTGTTAAACGCTTGGTATCCGGTAACCCTCAAACTGTCGCACAACTCCACTGAAGGTTGGCCCAGGTTGAAACGATTGGTTGGGAACCTACAAACTTGCTTGGCGGTATGCGCAGGGACGTGCCAAACCAATCATGCGATCGTGCACCCAGGTAGGTTTGGAAAACACACCTGCACGGGGACAACACGATCGCCCAAACTCCCCCACCGGCGACCAGGTTGTCGCACGAATCAAGCATTTACAACAGCTGAAAAATATGAGACTGACAGAACTCAGAAACCCGATTTCGCACTAGCACTAGGCTCAGGTTCAAGAGTAAAACTCTTTCCACTAGCAACCGCGGTTACCTCTTACACAAAGGTTAGATTCTCGTTGATCAGCATATACGGCCGACCTATAAACTTGAAATTAGGTCTTCATTTATCAGTATCAGCGGCGACTAGGGTACATCCCGTGCTTATCGTGAACCATGTCCAGGTAATGAGGCGCGCCAGGTAAGGGACGCGATGGGGCAGGACGGGACAGTACGGGAAGCGACGGGACTGGACAGGACTGGACGGGAAGGGACTAGAGGGACGGGACGGGACGGCACAGGAAGGTAAGAATCTCGACGAGGGGCCGGGAGGGGACGTGACGGGAAGGCGGGATGCGACGAGACCGGACGCAAATGGAAGGGAGGGAAGAGGAGCACGCGGAAGGGGCGGGATGCGACGGTACGGGGCGGAAACGGGAGGGACGGGAGGGGACGCGACGAGGGGGCGTGCATGCAGGGGGTCATGCATGAATGCAGGTCCTTGGCGTAGCAGGGTGAAGAGCACATCGTGTAATACAGCACAGCACAAGAACAGCGCACAGTGCAGCAGCGCCTGGACGAGTGGGGCGATTGCGAGCGCAAGTGCAGCCAGTGGCGCGAAGCCGCCAAACATGTCCCAAAACTCGGTCGTCCAGCTTGCCGTCGACTGGTGGGAGGCATGAAGGAGATAAGGAGAGAAGCAAGGAAGGCAGGGAGAGGTGGTGGGAGGCATGAAGGAGAGATGGAAAAGGGGAAGCGGGATTGGAAAAAGGGGTGAATGAAAAGTGAGAATTCGGTAAGAAGGTGAGTGACGGGGGAAACAGAGTGGGCAGAGGGGAGAAAGGGTGAGTGTGGGGGAAAGAGAGTGAGCAGAGGGGAAAACGCGTGAGTGAGGGGTGAAAGAGAGTGAGCAGAGGGGAAACGGGTGCATAAAAGGGGGGTAATGAGAGCCTGCAGGGGGGGAAATGAGGGCGTGCAGGGGGGGAAATGAGGGCGTGCAGGGGGGGAAATGAGGGCGTGCAGGGGGGGAAATGAGGGCGTGCAGGGGGGGAAATGAGGGCGTGCAGGGGGGGAAATGAGGGCGTGCAGGGAGGATGCCGCGCGAGGAGGCGAGAGGAGAACGCACGGGGAGGGGAGAGGAGCACGCGCGGGGAGGCGAGAGGAGCACGCACGCGGAGGGGAGAGGAGCACGCACGCGGAGGGGAGAGGAGCACGCACGCGGAGGGGAGAGGAGCACGCGCGGGGAGGGGAGAGGAGCACGCGCGGAGAGACGAGAGGAGCACGCACGGGGAGGGGAGAGGAGCACGCGCGGGGAGGCGAGAGGAGCACGCACGCGGAGGGGAGAGGAGCACGCACGCGGAGGGGAGAGGAGCACGCACGCGGAGGGGAGAGGAGCACGCGCTGGGAGGGGAGAGGAGCACGCGCTGAGAGGCGAGAGGAGCACGCGCGGGGAGGCGAGAGGAGGCGAGAAGGGGATATTGGGCGGCAGAAATGGGAGATCGGGCCGCGGGAACGGGAACTCGGGCGGGTTGCACGGGAGATCGGTCGGCGAGCAGGGGAGATGGGGTGGCGGGGAAGCGGAGGTCGGGTGGTGGGAAGATGACGGCTATTACCTAATCATAAGCATAGGCAAAGGGGAGCGCTACTGCTGCTCACCCCTGTTACGTGACATTCTTTGTCCTTTTGACGCCTTTGGATAGGAGCTAGGTTACTAATGGAGTGGTAATGCTTCTACTACGTGTAAGGAGGTAGGGCTGGAGTGCTAACCTTGGCGCTTGATTTTTCCCTATCACTTCACTCCCTTGCACAATCTGTGTTCCCGTCGTCAGTGTTGGTCGCACAAAGTGCAACTTCCCAAACCAGGTTCGGATGTGACCCAAACCTGCGCCTGAGCTCTTGTGTTGGCCTCAACACTTTGGAACTTCGCGCATGTATTTCCCCCGCTCGTCAAAAAACTCGTCACTCGTAAACCAATCAGGATCTTACTTTCCCAACCAAGTGTTAAACACTAGTAAATATGAGACGCGAGCTTTAAGGGAAACTTCCACGTGGCGAGGTCGGAGTAATTTAGGTCGATGCAATTGAGAGAAACAAGATTTCCGCCGATGCGCGTCATTTCGCCTTAGTTATGACATAATTCATCTGAGCATGCCATGCACTCGCATCGCACGATCATCTTTAGGACCACCCCGACAACTCGCTAACACTGTTGCCTCACGAGTTGCTCAGTCGCGCAGGCGCCTTGCGATACACCAGGGAGCCCAGTGCAGAGGAGAGTTTCCGTTGGCTGATCACATCACATGGCACATCAGGCCGGGACGCGAGTGCTTTGCTTTGCGGGAGCGCCACACAGGAGACGAATAGCGAAAGATTCTGATGTCGGATTTGTCGGTCAACGTCGTCGTATTCAGACTGTTGCTTGCAGGTGCAGAAGGACCACTGCGAGCAGTGCTGCTCCCATCCCAGCGTTTTCACCGCCGGCGACTGGGGATGAATTGTCGTACCAACACGAGACGCCGCTACTATTTCTCCTTCTCAGAAGCCTCTGAAATTGAGAAGCCCTGGCGTGAAGCCTCCATGTCCATCATCGTATCTGAGGACACCTGCTCCTGACGCCTTACTAAAATTCAGCCGCATGTCATTGCATCACTCGGGTGATTCACTGCGGCAGACCTCGCCTCGCTGTAACTGATAGTAGTAGTCCTAGTTACAGCATCATGATGCGGACTCGGACCGTCGGATCGTCCACCAGCCTTCTGCCGCTAATCAACGCCGGCCACGTGTCCTCCATCTGGCACGACATCCTCCTCATTCCGCCTCCCCCTTCTCCCGCCAGCGGCTCCTCCTCCCCGCCGCGCCACCCCAGCGTTTCCCCCTTCCCCACCTCCGCCTTCTCCTTCGTCTGCCTTCCGCCAGAAATCCCCCTCCGCCGATTTTGCGGGAGCCGAAAGCTTCGGCGCCGCGATGACCCGCTTTTCCTGTTGGAGAAGCGGATGGTCGTAGTGGCCCTGGACGGCAGTCTTACCAAAGTGCAGACGTCGCCGTCGTCGGCGCTTCTACTAGCGTCGCCGTGGAATCTGGGTATCCTGTGTAACGCCTGTGGGCTGTGTTAAGGGCACTCCGCTGCGCCAAATAACACCCTCGTTTTGACCCAGTGGGTAGCGAGGTGTTATACTGGTTTCAGAGCCTAGGGTTCGAGTCCCGGCCGGTCCACACTTTCCACCTATGGTGAGAACTGAAGTGTGGTTACCAGCTCGAACCCAGCGAACGATCCTGAAATCTAGGTCCCAGCGGCAGGGGGCCGACTCCCTGAAGTCCGAGGCCAACGGGGACGTTGGCACCAGGGGGGGACGAGTGTAACGCCTGTGGGCTGTGTTAAGGGCACTCCGCTGCGCCAAATAACACCCTCGTTTTGACCCAGTGGGTAGCGAGGTGTTATATCCTGCCACAGACGTGCGTGCTCGCGTCGCGTTCCATGTCGATGTTCTCCCGCTGGGATGCGACTGGCGATTCTGGCGGTTCCGACGGCCGCCAGGATAATGAACTCACTGATTCGCTCTTAACAGCGTGCGACAATGCGCCGCTGGAGGCGCTGGAGATTGGGTCGCAGGCGCGCGACCCGGGCGACGTGTACGACGTTTTTCCGCTGCTGGCGATGCCCCTGCGACTGCTGGGATCTGGGCGAAACAGCATGCCGATTTCGTGGAGGATTGTAACCATCGCAGCGGACGACGAGCTGGTGACGAGCGGGCAGCTGAAACATTCCATGCGCGATTTGTTGGATCGCGTTCGCGAGTGGGCGAAAAAGTCGGAGTCCTTTGGCGAAATAGTGGGACCAGGTAATATGCCAATCTGCTTCCTTCGTCCATCCCCTCTCCAAGCCATCCGCCCCTCTCCCTTCGCTTGCCAATCCTGCTGCTCTCCTGCTCCCCTGCCCTCCCTCCTCACTCAACTCGCCTCCCCGTTAAATATTTCCTCGCTCCTGCATTCCACCCTTCGCTTCGCTTTCTAGCTCTTAGCTCCTTCAATACTCTCCTTGCTCCCTCCTTGCCCTCCTTGCTCCCGCTTATTCCCCTTTCCCCGCTACGGCATCCTCTTGTTCTCCTTGGTCGCTCCTCCCCCACCATAATTTCGCCATCTCGCGTCTCGCCTTTCTCCGCGTTTTCCCTTTTGCTAAACATTTGTGGAGGAGCCAATCTCGTTCCTTTGTTTGATCTCGTCTACTTGATCATGATTGGACAAGGCGGAAGAAGACGTGGATGTAAACTGAAAACCCTTGCAAACTGCTAAATTCAAAACCTCCTTCACCTCCCCTTCCCCCTCCCTCTCCCCCTTCCCCTTCGCTCGCCTCGTCCCCCCCTCCTCCGCCTTCCTTCCCTTCCCCCACCTCTTTCTCCCCCTCTCCACACTCTCCCTCGTCCCCGCAGGTCGCTCTCCCAATCTCTGCTTTGGCGCCTTCCCATCGCCATCGCCCGCGGAAGCAGAAAACAGAGAGGCGGGCGAAAGTCAATCCGGACTTCAAGACTTCAAGAGCAATGAGAGAGGAGCGTGGGGCGGCGGAAGCGGAGGTGTAGGAGGATCGCTGAGAAGGATCTCAAGAATCAAAGGTCGATATTCAAAGGTTGAACACGAGAAGAGAGGAGTGGATGAAGCGGAGGAGGAGGAATGGGGTAAGACTGCAAGGGAAGCAGATGAGAAGGAGCAAGTGGAGAAAGCAGCAAGGCAAGCCTGGGAGGCTGAGGAGACGGAGACAGCAGCAGAGCAGAGGGAGCAAGCGCGGGAAGCGGTGCAAGCAGTGCTGTATGCGCACAGCACCTGGCTAATCCTCTGCCCCACTCTGCGCCGACCTGCTCTCAGGCGCCTGGAGAATCGCCACTGTGGCAGCTCGCACCTGCCCGAAAAAGGCCATGGCAGCTCTCACCTGCCCGAGAAACACCATGACGGCTCGCACCTGCCGGGGAAGCAGCAGCAGCAGCAGGAGGAGGAGGAGGAGCGACAGGATAGGCTTTTCCGCAGCCCTGTAATATCGCGTCATATGTCCAGTGCTCTGCCGGTTCCCTCTTGGTCCTTCTCTTCCTCTCCGTCTTCTCCCTCTTCTTCTCCCTCACATTCGGCCTCGTATAAGGCAGCTTCGTTACCGTCTAAGGCCGCACGCTCCAGGCGGGCGGCTTATCAAACCCGCCAAAGCAGATCCGATACGGATATCAGCGCCACGGGCGTGTGGAGGCTGATTTCTCCTCCAGAGAGCTATGGGCTTCCGGGGCTGGTGTCCGCTGGTAGGCTGGGAGGGAATGGAGAAGGGCGAGGAGGAGGAAAAGGAGAAGAACGGGGAGGGGAAGAGGGAGGAGGCGGAATGAAGGACGGTGTTGCAAGGAGAGAAACGAGCAAGCACAGGCACAGGCACAGGCACAGCCACGACTTTACTTCGATGATCAAGAATAGCGACTGTCATCACAACTCTGAGTCTTCTGGCCGACTTGCGGTTTCTGCTGCTAAGGTTGCAGCAGCAGCGGCAGCAGCGGCGGAAGCTGTTAAGACACAAGTTGTTACAGGAGTTGCAGCCACAGCTGCCGCTGTTGCTGCAAACAAGCATGCTGTGGCAGGAACTGTAGCAAGAAGTGTAGCATGGCCTTTTACACACCCAGCTCATTCCTCTCTTCTCAGCCCCTCTCACTCTCTGTCTGGATTGACTCTAAAGTTACACCTTCCTCCTCGATCCCCTCCTCTCACTCCCTCATCTCGATCCCCTCTGCTCACTCCCTCATCTAGATCCCCTCCGCTCACTCCCTCATCTAGATCCCCTCCGCTCACTCCCTCATCTCGATCTCCTCATCTCACTTTCTCAACGCAATCCCCTCCCTTCACTCCGTCTCAATCCCCTCCTCTCCCTCCCTCATCTCAATCCCCTCCTCTCCCTCCCTCATCTCAATCCCCTCCTCTCCCTCCCTCATCTCAATCCCCTCCTCTCCCTCCCTCATCTCAATCCCCTCCTCTCCCTCCCTCATCTCAATCCCCTCCTCTCCCTCCCTCATCTCAATCCCCTCCTCTCCCTCCCTCATCTCAATCCCCTCCTCTCCCTCCCTCATCTCAATCCCCTCTCACTCCCTTGCCGCTGTCCCCTCCCCTCACCCCTTTGTCTCAATCCCCTCCTCTCACTCTCTCGCACTCCTCCACCGCGCCTCCATCCCCCCCTGCTCGCCGTTACAGCGTACAATCGGGTGGGAGAACCTCCACCGCTTCTTCTCCAAGGTTCAACTCCCCCTTTGCTCGCCCATCCACCTTCAATTCAGCTAGTACCACTGCGGTTTCTCCAACATGTGCCTCCCCGTGTGCTCGCCGTTCCATCTTAAAGTCTGCCAGCACCACGGCAGCATCTCCAGGGCCCGGCAAGCGGGTGTCGTGGAACCTTGACCCAGATGCCTCACCTGCCCCTGCCAGTGCTACATCGGGGAGGGGACCTACCTTACCAGAGGGAGGCGGTTACGAGCCCATTGTGCGAAGGGCATCGTGGCATGCAGGCACCTCTGCTGGCATGCGTGCTGCTGAAATCCGTTCTGTTGACACCGGTGCTCCTATGGCTGCTGGCGCCATGGGAAGGCCGGCAGGAAATATTTTTGATAAGATCGCTGGTGAAGCTGCTGAGTTTAGTCAGGGAACAATGGCCGTAGCAGATGCAGCTGGTGCTGTTGCTGCCCATGCTGCTGCCCGTGCTGCAACGGCTACTGGTGCTGCTGTGACTGCTGCAGCATTTTCATTGTCTTCCAGGCCTTCCTGGAATCTTCCTTCTTCCAAGCGTCCTGTGAAGAGCATGAGCTCCGACCAGGTTCGCAGCCGTTTAGAAACAGCCGAACTTCCGAGCGGGTCGGAAGCTTCCGGAAGGGGGGATCTCCAAGGGAGAAGAGGAGGGAGAAAGGCGCGTTCTCTATTTGTGGTAGTGCCTAGCCGCAGCTTGCACAAGCAGACCTTAAGTGACGGCACATCGTTTGGATCCCCTATTCTTTCCGCAAGACAAACTGCATGAAGTTATGGCCTCTTATGAGGCTAGCCTCTTATCAGGCTCGCGTCGAACTGCACTGAAACACTTGAAGCGAAAAGCATTGTACCAGGCTAGTCTGACAAGAGGTTTGTCTGATAAGAGGCGTAGGAACGCGCCCTTATCAGAATATACGGTACAGAATGTTGGGCTGAGAACACACAGAATGCCTTCATACAGTTTCTGAACTGGATGGTTAGCTGAATGGTAAGAAATTGGCAGATTATGGATAACGTAACGTGTGAAGGCCACTGGAACATATGGCGTCGGTTCTGAAGCTTTAAACTGGAAGCAGGAAATCGCTTTCATTCTGGCTGTCACTGAGAGGACCCGGAGGGCAGCAAAACAGCAACTCTGAGACCCATGTGAAGCAACTCATTATTCAACCACCAACGCTACCATGTGAAACCGTTTTGTACGCGGCACAATTGTCAATGAAACACGCCCCTCATGCACTTCCCCGTCCTCTAAATGAATAAGACTGCTGTTGAGCCGCCAGTGAGTGAGAGTGTTCCCCACCACAGGCACCTGCAGGAACCCCACATCCCGGCCATTCACCTTTACATCTGCACCGTCCATCTTGTGCTCCTGCTTCGTCCAGTCCAACATCTTGTACACCACACCTATGCCCCGGGTGACCCCCCGCACATCCACAGCCACACGCAGAGGGGCACGAGCAGCCTGGGCCTTCCAGCACAGGATCCGCGACACCAGCGGCCCACACGCATCCTGCACCCATGTCGCATTCGCCTCGGCAATCCTCTTCACACTCGCCGCATCCCCTTTAGAGGCAGCCTCTCTAACAGCCGTGTACCCCTCGGGGAACTCCACCGCGCCCACAGCCGACACATTCCAGGTGTTGCCCAGCACACAGCGCGGGTGCGGGTCTGCCGCGCTCTGCAACGGCGGCAGCATGCACGGCGCCGAGAGCGGCGGGCCGAGGGCCGAGAAGCCCAGGTCACCGAAGCACTTGCGACAGAGGGAGGTGGGCGGGCAGAGCAGGGCGGACTGGGTGGAGGGCGCCGCCTTGCCATCCACCCAGTCGAGGCGCAGGTGGTGGCGGGAGAGGGAGAGCCCCTCACGGCGCAGGTAGTGCAGGGCGAGGGAGAAGATGCGGTGGGCCGCCAGGCTGCCCGCCATGCCGTGCCCGGCAGCCGAGGGATGCACACGGTCCACAAACATGTGCGCCCACGTCAGGTTCTCCGCAGGCTCGGATGACGGCATGGAAAGCACACGAGGCTTGGCGGCAGGCTCGGAGGGAGGTTCAGCCGAGGCTGGGCAGGTTGGGGACGCTGCAGTGGCAAGGAGGGGGAAGTAGGCTCGCCAGGGGCTGACAGCGGGGACACTGTAGTATGCTGAGAGGTGGTTGAGCAGGGCCTCGGCTGAGTGATGGAAGGCGGAGAGCAGTGGGTCGTGTGGATGGAAGACCCCGAAGTTGAGAAAGAGGACTAGCGGATGTGATGGCAGCAGTAGGAACTGGCGCAGTAGACCCTCTGCTGCTGCATACTGCATGCCCTCTGGTGACGGGGGAAGGGGAAAGGAAGGGGGATGGAAAGGAGAGATCGCTTGGAGTGAGGTGGGTACAAGGGGGTGGAATAGTGGTGAATGGTGTTAAAGAAGCCAGCATGCCACCACGCCATGCCACCACGCCATGCCACCACGCCATGCCACCACGCCATGCCACCATGCCATGCCACCACGCCATGCCACCACGCCATGCCACCACGCCATGCCACCACGCCATGCCACCACGCCATGCCACCACGCCATGCCACCACGCCATGCCACCATGCCATGCCACCACGCCATGCCACCATGCCATGCCACCATGCCATGCCACCATGCCATGCCACCATGATGCTATGCCACCACGCCATGTCACCACGCCATGCCACCACGCCATGCCACCACGCCATGCCACCATGCCATGCCACCACGCCATGCCACCACGCCATGCCACCACGCCATGCCACCACGCCATGCCACCATGCCATGCCACCACGCCATGCCACCATGCCATGCCACCATGCCATGCCACCATGCCATGCCACCACGCCATGCCACCACGCCATGCCACCACGCCATGCCACCATGCCATGCCACCACGCCATGCCACCACGCCATGACACCACGCCATGCCACCATGCCATGCCACCACGCCATGCCACCACGCCATGCCACCATGCCATGCCACCATGCCATGCCACCATGCCATGCCACCATGCCAGTCCACCTACCAGGACGGGGGACCATGGCGGGCTGCAGCACGGACCAATCATTAGCACGCACTCCAGCAACACCGCGTCCACCTCTCCTGCTGCACGCCTCTTGAGGCGCTTAAAAAGTCATTCCACTTACCTGGGGCGGCCTACCTGGGGGCGGGCTACCTGGGGGTGGCGCCATGCCGGGCTGCAGCACGGACCAATCATTTGCAGCGCACTCCAGCAGCACCACGTCCGCCTCCCCTGCTGCACGCCTCTGCTCCTCCCCGTCCGCCCACAGCGCCCCCAACAGCTCCCCCGTGCAGAAGTGCAGCACGTACGAGCCGGCTCCGGGTAGGAAGGCCCGGATGAGACGGTGCGGAGGGGTTGAGGGCGGTGTGGGGAACACCTGTGGAGGGGATGGGGAGAGGAGGGATGGGGAAACGAGGGGAGTAGGAGAGGAGGAGAGCCAGTAGCAGGATTGAGGGAACTCTGAGTGCCCTAGCTGGCAAGGAAGGGGAAGAGGAGTGGGGACAGAGCGAGGTGGGTGGACCCTTGCAGAGAGGAGAGCGAGGAAGGAAGAAGAAACGACAAATCCCAGTCTGCCTTCTCCCACTGTCTTGAAGTGACCGGATCCATTTGTTCTAGTGCTCTCTTTGGGAAGACGAAGGGTGGAGTGCCAGCAGGAGGAGAATGGGAGGAGCTCGATGCCCGTGAGCCACATCTGCAGCAAACTCCCCCACATCGTGCAGTCTACGTTGCCAAGTATGCATGCACCATGCACCAGCAGCAAGCAGCAGGACAGGAGGGTGCAAGCAGTGCGAGGGCCAGGAGGTCGCACGGTGCCGTGTCATGCACCCACTGACGGAGCATAGCCTGCTTGGTGCGAGTGTTGGCTCTAAAGCACACTTAAGCTCAGAGTAACGCATCAGAATGCGAATGCAATCACACAATACGCTTACTCGTTTTTGAGTCCCAAGATTGAGTTTTTTGCAGCACCCATACGTAGGCCACGTGCGCCACCCTTCCCATCGCCTTTGGCAGGACTAAGGTGTGCGACTTCATCACGATATGGTACCTGACCCGCAGGGGCCACCAGTCCAGGCTGACATTCTCAAAACGCAGGCTCAGCCTGTGTTGGCCCCAGCCAAGCCCCTGCTGCTGACTGAGCTTTACAGTGATAACGATGGTGGATGATATGATTGGTTGCTTTTGCGCAACTACTTATTGATCTATTTCTATCACCTACCAGTGTCACATCATTTGTCGCCATCGTTCCTCGACCAACACCGTCGTCCACTCCTCGGACCCTCTCCAAATCCTCTCCCATCCTCCCCCACCCTCCTCTTCCACCTTCCCCACAACAGCCACACACCTGCTGCAGCCAGTCCACAAGCGCACCTGCTGCAGCCAGTCCACAAGCGCACCTGCTGCAGCCAGTCCAGGAGCGCCTGGCCGTACGTGGCGGTGCCGTGCATGACGCCGCCCGGCAGGTGCCCCGCGGCGGAGATGGAGCCGCCCACCGCCAGCACTGTGAGCGGCCGCCCCGCCAGCAGCTTCGCCAGCAGCACCAGGAAGCGGTGCAGCGGCGGGTCGAACGCGAAGCTCCTCTGCACCACGTCCACCCCGTAGCTGGCGGCGGGGGATGGAGTAGGGTGGGTTGGGGTGGGGTGGGGTGGGGTGGCGTCGGGTGGGGTGTGGGCGACAGTGGGGAGACGGGGATGGGGAGGCGCCGGGCGGGGGGGATGGAGAGGCGGGGATAGGGAGAAGGGGAACATAGGCCATGGTCAGCTTCCAGGAAGTGGTGCAGCAGCCGGTCGAAGGCAGCGCTCCTCTGCACCACGTCCACCCCGTAGCTGGCAAGGAGTTAGGACGACGAGGGGGAGGTGGGGAGAGGGAGGAGCGGACGGGACATAGGTGAGCAGCCTCTCTGGTAGCAGCAGATGAAAGCGATGCAGCGGGAGGGATGCTGTATCAAAAAGGGGAGGAGGAAGCTGCAAGGCAAGGGTGAGGAGCAGACGCGCAGGATAGAAGTAACGGGCAGAGATTCCGAGACGGGGAGGAAGGAACTGAAGAGAGGGGTGGCACGGACGGCAAAGGAGGGAGAGGTGGGAGAGGAAGGCTATGACTGGGAGGGAAAGCCCTTGTGCTATCGCGCTGCACTCTACCAGCCACCGTCGCCGCCGTGCCGTCTTTCTGCTATCCCCATGCCCTCTCCCCCCTCTCCCCGTCACCACTTATAGCTGCGCTCAATGCTGCTCGCCGCTCACCGCTGCTCGATGTCCCACATGGCCTGCTGCAGTCGCCGGCCCACCTCCAAGCACTCCGCCGACATCGTTGCTCCCGCCACAGCTACCCCCACGCCCCACTCGCCCTTCGATCCGCCCCCTGCGGGACCCCGCATCCTTCGGCTGCTCCCCCATCCGCGCACGTGCCCTCCGCCAACCCCCCCTCCTTCGAGCGGCAGCAGCGGGTCTCTGAGTGCCGGGGAAATCAGCAGCACAGCAATCAGCGCAATCTGCAGGCGAAAAATCCGGACAGAATTCATCTCGAATAAGGGGAATTGCGCTTTTGACACGGTTTCATGTCGTCAGCGACTTTGGAGGGGGGGGAAAGGGGTGGGGAGGGAGGGGGGTGGTGGTGGTGGGGGTGTTGGGGGGGGGGGAGTGTCACACTCGCTACCAGCTACTCGTTCTACGAGTAATTTCGGCTAAGGCGAAAATTGTTGCTGTCTTCTGGTTGGGTGGATGGCGAGGAGGTCACGTAAGTGTATGTCTGGTTGGTTTCCTGATAGAACACGATCCGTTGGCGATACTTTGAAGAGAAACAGTTTCTGGTTTCATTCCAAGAGGCTTGACATGCAACTGTTTGCAATACTACTTGTGGTTAGAATTGTAATAAGGGAAAATGTGAATGTAAAAAATATGGGGAGATTTTTTATTTTTTTTTATCGTCACAGCATGGAGGCTCGCAACACAACACCGCATGTTTCACACCTTTGTGTGTCAGTTCCACCTCCAACATTCCTGGGCAAGGATACAAAAACAAAAGAAATCATTATTTGATGTACCGTCATCACCCGGATATAAGACAGTGTTGAATAGTAGACAGGGGTTGTCTATTATACGGGTGTCTCTTATAAACAGGCTAGCCTCATTATAAGACACATATTTGTGTGTACGAGATAAGACATATGTGTCTTATAATCGAAACTACAATATATTATAGTGAAATTTGAAGTACCGCGAACATTTTTACCCTTGCGACACGCGAATTCTGGCACGTGCTGACTCACGTACTACCAAATTTGCCTCTGCAAGTATTCACCATGACGTGGCGCCCCGAACAATGGTTGCCGAAGTGGCACCTTCGCAACATCCACACTCATACTGAGAAACTTCTCAAGATGTGTGAAAATATTTTTAAGTAGCTTAAAAAAGTTTCCATTTATAAGACTTATAAGACACCCAAAACCTCCCCAAATACAAGATAACCCAAGCATTTTTTTAGTGTATGAGATAAGACATATATGTCTTATATCCGGGCGATGACGGTAGTGGTTGTTAGAATTTTAAGCTGTTTGAATAGGATCGTAGTCTTAGGATAGTAGCTTCCTGTAGCAGTGGAAGTCTTATATGAGTGACTTGTAACGGGATCAATATCTCTGAAATCAAGTATATTAGGAAATGACAAACATATAGAATATATACTAGGATAAAAATACATATTCGCTTAATGTACCTATTAGCCTAAAACGGTACGTGACTATTCGCGATACCTACAGCTACTGCTGACGTCATCCTAGGGCGCGTAGCGCTTTGCTGACGTCAGCCTATCGGTACTTTTACTGTACTAACTACACTACACGAATTCCTTGAAGTGCACAAGTCTCGATATTATCTCAACACTCCCCTTCACTTCTAGGAGTTCGGTGTAGTCACCCTGTTGACTCGGAAATGCCACTGAGCTGGTTGCAGTGATGAAATTTCTGACGTGTCAGCTTCTTAGTAAGCGAATCAGCGGCCATGTCGCTGGTGGGGCAGTAGACAAGACGCATTCTCCCCTTGTCGATCGCGTCTTTTACGAAGAAGTAACGCAGCGAAATGTGCTTCGTGCGATTGACGAAACCAGGCTTGTTGGCGATGGTAATTGCACTCTGGTTGTCGCACTGCAACGTGAACTGATTCGGCGTGACGAATTTTGCTTCGTCAAGCAATTCCTGAAGGTACAGACCTTCGCAAGTTGCAGCACAGGCGGCGATGAATTCTGCTTCAGCCGATGAAAGTGACACGAGTTCCTGTTTCGAGGAATTCCAGGAGATCGGACCAATCGGCTCGAGACGAAAAATATAACCCGTGCGTGACCGTCGATCTGACGTGTCGCCAGCGTGGTCCGCGTCAACGTACCCGCTGAGGTACATTTTGTCGGTCGGCTTCCCAGCGTTGAAAATCAACCCGATTGTTGGTGTAGAGACGAAGTAGCGTAGCGCATGCTGTAAGTCGAGAGAGTGTTCTTCTTTCGGGCAGCGTAGAAACTGCGCAAGGTGACTTGCGACGTAGGCAAGATTAGGGCGACAGGTGACTGCTGCGAAAAGGAGACATCCCAGCTGCTGCTGATACAGTTGAAGACCAGCTGCTGACAGATTTTTCAGGTTGGGAACGTGCCCGGTGAGTGTAGACCGATAAGGTGTAGCAATGAAATCCGTGGGGATGTTGAAACGCTTAGCGAGTGACTCCGCATACTTCGAAGCCGTGAGATGAATAGCGGAAGAAGTTCGCGTAACGTTTAACCCCAGAAATTGAGTTACTTTGGTGGAAATGGTTAAGTCAAGCGATTTCTTCGGATCGGCTTCGATACGATCACCCAGCGAAGTCGACGAACTGACGTAGAGGATGTCGTCCACGTAAGCTACTAACAACGCATAGCTCCCCTTGTCGTCTAGCCGGTACATCCCGGGATCGTGCGGCAGTTGTCGAAACCCAACCTCCGTCAGCTTCCTGTTCAAATGCTGCTGCCACAGTCCCGGTGCTTGTTTGATTCCGTACAGTGACTTTTTGAGCTTGCAGACACTCGGCGGATTTGTCGGATAGGTGTGCGGATATTCGACGTAGATTTCGGCATCGACGTCGGCGTACAGAAAAGCGTTTGAAACATCGATTTGTCGAAGTGGAAAATTCTTCGCGGCTGCTTCGCAGAGAACGAGTCGAACACTCGTATGTCGACTGACCGGGGCGAAGGTAAGCATGTAGTCGATCCCATGAGTCTGATCAAAACCGCGAACCACCCACCGTGCCTTGTGTTTCTCGTAAGTACCATCCGCTTTCGTCTTCACCCTGAAGACCCACTTACCGGTAAGAACATTTTTGTTTACCGTTTTTTCAATGGGTATAAGATCCCAAGTTTCCCTTTTCTCCAGGGCAGCCAGTTCGCGATCCATCGCTTCACGCCATTTTTCGCGATGAGGCCCTGAGAGAGCTTGTCGGGCAGTTTTCGGCTCCAAATTCACTGTAGAACTGTGCTGTACCGCTGCTGCGAGTCCCAGAATTTGCAGTCCGGTCTGATAATGCGGATTATCGTCGGTGCGACCTGCGAAATTGACAGAATCATTCTGGTCTCCACTTGCCCCCCCAATTTCGTCAGGGTTGACACGGATGCTGCTATCGGAAACCACCGGCATTGGTTGGCGCTGTTCATCCACGAGGTAAGTGTGATGAACATCGCGAACATCCTCAGGTGCCGCGTCAGCAAGAGGAATAAACTCCGGAATTCCGGAGGACGTGACAGGGACAGGTGGGTCGGGAACAGCTTCACGTGCACCGTCGGGGTCAGGTTCTTCGCTGGCAGCAAGTTCGGCGTCGGCGGTAGCGAACGAACGAACACCGTGGAAAAGTGTGGCAGGGTTTTGCTGTGTGGCAAGATGCTGTTCGAAGACGGGCAGCGTCAGATTCTCGTAGAAAATACAGTCGCGAGCAGGAACAAGGAGACGACTGCGGTAATCCATGATACGCCAGGCAAGATATTGTTTTTCAATGCCGAGATGCAGCCCCCACTTAGCACGCTGATCGAACTTCCCGAGCGGAGCGGTAGGAGGACGGTACTGAACAACACACCCGAAAACACGAAGTAATTTAGTGGTACCCAACTTTCCCGTCCACAGCAAGTAGGGTGAGGCGTTGTTGGGCAGGGCCGAGGACGAAAGAAGATTGTGCAACACCGTTGCATGGTCCATGGGAAAAGGCCAGTAGAGTGGGCCGAGTTGAGCCTGGGCAAGAAGGGCTCGCATCTTCTCTTGCAGAGTCCTGTTGAGCCGCTCAGCTACGCCACTCTGCTGATGAGCGTGAGGCAACGAAAAAAGTCGTCTTATCCCGCGTTCTTGCAGGTAGGTCGTGAACTCGTTACTGCGATACTCGCCGGCACCGTCACACTGAAACGTCTTTAGCTTAGTATCAGACTCTCGTTCGGCGAGAGGAAGCCAGGTGCGGAAAGCTGTAAACGCAAGAAAACGGTTAGTCATGTTTCCAGTCCAAACGTAACGAGTAGAAGCTTCTGTAAATGTGATAACGTAGCGCTCGCCGTTGAAACCATCCGCAGGTAAGTTGAGTATATCGCTGTAAACCTTATCCATCAGGTGATAATCTTCAGCTCCGGGGAAATGAGTCGGGAACGGCTCGTGCGGTAGGTTCGCCGTAGGGCAGATGGTGCAGGGTGCCGGGCGATTCACCGGCTTCAGTTCGAGACCGTTCGGTAAGAGTAACGAATTTTTGTCAAGCACTGCAGCCTTGATCGTGTTGTTTAGCGTAGACCGCGACGGATGACCAAGTCGCTTATGCCATGTTTCTCCCGTGGCTTTGTGACCTTGTGCGCGCAGGTAATACTCGGCGCTAGTGAAGAACGACAACAGAAGCTGATGACCATCGGAGCGGATCTGATCGAAAGCAGGTGCGACGTAACGAGTAAGATTTGGTGGTGGAACACAAACCTCAACATCCACGTACTCGCCTGGAGCAAGTACTAACTCGCCGCTTTCTTGATCGGATGCTGCAGGTACAGGTTCAACTCCAACGAGACGACCCGAGTCAAGAATCTCCATATCAGCGACGCGTTGCTCAGCTTCAGCGAGGAGACGATCATCGCGTTCAGCAGGCGTTTCGCCCCAAGTTGTTTCATCGGGTTCGTCAGCCCCCCAGATGCCGTCATTAGTCGGCATGTTCGTCGGATCACCCCAACCTTCAACAGCAGCCATGTACTCCCGGGAGGACTGAACATCATTCAAGCCTTGATCGTCGAAGGTCAACATGACGGCGGCAGCCGTGGTTGAAGACGTCGAGACAACTCCCTCACGTGGAACTGTATCGTCGGTGTAATCAATGTCGTCGCGATGTGTGAGAATGATAGACGAAAGAATGAATGAACTAGAAATGAGATGGGTACATATAGGAAACACATAAGTGTTGTACCCACTAAGAGCTACCCCACTACAGCCTAAATAGACCATAGCAGATATAAGTTTGACACACCCCCATAGGCAAAGTCGGGGAGAACAAGAGG